CGGGATCCACACAACCAATGGCGAATGCAACCCAGACGTGGCGCCCGTGGACTCAAGAAGAGATCATGATGAGGATGGCGGAGGCCTGGGACGAGAACATCAGCCTCAGTCTGCAGGAGGAAGCATTCCAAGAACTCAGTGGAGAAAACTCTGCAGCTGGTCTTCCACCTATCCCTGAAGACCTTCCTCTCCCCACCTGGGCTCGAAGGGAACCTTTGGTCAACTGGTGGGAGAAAGTTCGAGATCTTCGCCAACTACGTGGTCGACCTTCATCCTCTTCCTCTTCGAGCTCCTGCCCGCCGGCAATGTTGGGAACTACCTGTATAACGAGCCCTACACCAAGTTCGAGTTCGTGCATGTTAGGGTCTACCTGTACATCAAGTTCAACACCAAGTTTGAGCTCGGGTACCTTCCCATTGACAAACCTGGAGCCTACCGGTGCTTCGAATTCTACAAGTCCCGGTCAACATGAGCCCCCGGAGACAGGAACTTGCTCTTCAACCGGGACTGACCAGGTAGAGTCACCATGGCCTCAGGACCTCCCTGTAACCCCACAGTTTGCAGGAGATCAATGGCTGCCGATGTCTTGGAATGAACCTAGTGAAACCCCTCATGAGCAGCAGGGTCTCGACCATGAGGGCATTACCTTTCGCGGAGGCGTACAAAGACCTGGGCGAGATCGCTGGAACTTCGCGAATGGCAGCGTGCACAACCGTCGACAACTGAGACTTGGGATGGAGCTGACGCAGAACGAACGCCAGAACAAGCCATTTGAAGTGACTGGCACTGGTCAACATGCAGATGGACCCACTGTCAAAGCCACCACCTTCTATGGGGATGACTTTGAGGTATGGGCCTCACCAAGCGCCATCAATGAGCCTGAACAGGATGTCAGTACGACAGCAGGTGACAGCGGCTTTGCGGACACAGAGGAGGGCGGCTCCACCTCGTCTGACACCAGCACTTCTGTGGACGTGGGGTTCTACCGGCACGGCATTTGGCATGCGAGAAGTAGAACTGCAGAGGAGCTACGCTCTCATCAAGGAGGGCGCGGGCCACGCCGTATGGAGAGACGAGCCAGTCGCATGGCTGCCTACTTGGCTGGTAACTGGCGTCCGGCCTGGCTGGTCTCATATCGGCAAGAACGGGACCAGCGCCAAATGGGTAAGACCACTGACACCCCGTCGATGGAGGAGCAGGCCGGGCCTTTGGCGGAACCAAGCTCTGGGTCTCTTACCAATGCCGAGAATGCGACGCCTGAAGTTTGGGATGATCAAGCCTGGAGTGATCAAGCCTGGAATGGAGCGAGCTGGTGGAATGGTGCCTGGTGGGAAGGACAATGGCATCAAACTGGATCACAGTGGCAGTGGCATTGGAACCCTTCCCCTTCTACGTCGACAACCAGCACTACGAATGGCACCCAAACTTGGTGGACACCACGGGCGATAATGGACCTCACATCTTCTCACCTTGGCGAGATGACTTTGGTCAACGATGGAGTGACTGCACCTGACTTGCACATCTCCAGTGAACAGTCGTGGATTACCTGGACCAGCACTACCTCGACAACTTCGACTTCGGCTCCGGTGGATCACTTCCCGCCCAACTTTGGCCTCATGCCCTATGTCGCGCCAATCGATCCTGAAACTTATGGACGAATGGCGATAACAAATGGCGAGATGGCGACCCTTGAGGAAAATGGGACACCCAGGACAATCATTCGCCGCATCGAGGACATGCTCAGTGCACTGGATCGTCAAGAACAACTAGGTACAGGGCCTGAAAGTCGCTGGGCTCTTGGTCGCTTGGTCAGAAGGGCATCTGAAGCAGCAGATGCACAACAGGCCATCTTACAAGTCCTTCGGCGACGGTTGATCCCTCGTGGGCTCCTCCCAGTCACACGGTACCCTCGGGATGAACAACATCGCATGCGCTTCTTCTCGTGGATCCGGCAGTATAACGCCATCTTTATGGACAACCTGGAGCAGCACCTGAGAACGCCTTTACAGCCTGGTGATACGGGATCAGAGGATGCAAGTTCATCAGATGAGGACCCCAGAGGCAGAAGCAGGAGCAGGTCGCGAGTCAGGGGAGGCAGCCCTTCTGGTTTGGAGGTTCCTGATGCAGTAGATAACACAGAAGTTGTCATGGCATCAGGCGGAGAAACCAGTGACATGGGGTCCAACATCAGTGTTCAGGACCATCAGCCACTGACATCGCCCACTCAGGAACCAGCTGTCCATGCACCGGAACAATCTGAGCTGCAGGGGATTTGGCGTGAACCTGAACCCGAACCGAGTGAAGCAAGCGACCGACAAGGGAGGCACTCGACACGGGAGACTATGATCCTTTCCCAGTCGGCGACTTCCAGTTCTTCTACCACATCGACAACCACCTCGTCTTCATCTTCGTGTTTGAGCAGCGCTATGGTGACCTTTGTGGCTACTTCGGTGACTACGTCGACTACGAACCACTCTCTGGCAAGCAGCACGGTGATGGGGGCCTCCTCGGGACTTCACGAGCTATCAATTCCTTCGACTGTGGAAGAAGAGCTAGAGGAAGCTATCTTTATGCAGATGCCGAGTTTGGCACCATGGGGTCAGAATGTCACTGTAGAAGGGGACAACTCCGCGACCTCTCAGTATGAAATATGGGATGAGATCTCAGCTTGCTCTTCGCCCTGTACTTCCTCCAGCACGACCACAACAAGCACGAGCACGGACACTATGACAGCGGATGATGTAGTGCGAGATGTGGTTAATCAGCAGATGGTGTTGGCTGGGGATGCTGATGTTCTTGAAGTGCTACATCGGCTCCATGTTCGACTACGTGATCTAACGAGGCTGCAGCGTCTGACTCAAAATGCCCTTTGTGAAATACTTCGGTGGCTCCGAGTTCATCGGTATAATTTGCCGCTGAATGCGAACGCGCAAGAGAGGAGCATCTGGGACGCCATCTTGCAAGCAGCCCCTGTTGAAACTGGACCCGTGCATGCAAGTTCGTCCACGTGGGTGAATTCTCCAGTCCTTCTCTTGCAGCCTGGTTGGCCAGCTACAATTCCAGAAATGGTACAGGCGTTCCCAGGAATACCTGAACATGCATGGTCTGGCTTCAGGCGCCGTGCATGGCGCCGGCATGTGGACGGGGTGTTCCAAACAGCAGGTCGCACAGTACCACGCGGCAGTTGGCCAGCGGAAGAGGACCAGGAGCTCTACATTATCCAAGCTAACGGAACAGCAGAGATTCCAAACTGGCCAACAGGAGTACCACGTCCTCTTCATCCACGAGAACGTCATCTGCCCGAAACTCAGGTCCAGCGTGAAGTTTGCCATCCAGCTGCTGCTCGAAGACGCTCGGGAGCTCGGCGACGTTCTGCTCGTACACGCCCGTGGCCGCTACTTGTACCTGTGGGAACCAACCTACTACTTGAGCATGCTCGGCCTCATGGAGTACCAGAAGGCATACCAGGCAGTTCTGATGAACCTAGAGTTGACCGAGTAAGAAATGCCAAAAGGAAATCGGATGCGGCTGAATCTGATGTTGGTGCTTTGGAAAACCAGGAAGGTAGTGCTCTGTCCAGCAATGATGAGTTCGTGGGTGCCGCAATGGGTGGACTAAGTCTTCCTGATGCTCCTGTGGAACATGTGAGTGAGTCCGCTGAGGGAGGTGAGAATGGTGAACACAAAGAACCAAGTTGTGAAGAAATGTCTGAAGAGTCTGCAGCCACAGAGGTTGAGAAGTGAGTGCTGCTCTTAGTGTAGGCCTCGAACAGGGGCAGGCTTGGATCTCTGCGGGAGAAAGGGGCCACTGCACATAAAAAAAAAAAACCCTACACTACACCCTACACCCTATACCCTATACCCCTAATCCCTAAATCCTAAACCGCTAAATCCCTAAACCCTAAACACTAAACCCCTTGACTGGCATCTCGCGGGGCCCCCGGAGGCTTGAAAACCCTGGCGTTCACTAAAGACCCCAAGGAAATTCCTACGGTGGACGATATACAACCTGCGTTACCTTAAAGACCTTAACCTATGGGAATTATGGTAGATTCCTTATTATGGGTAGTGCAGGATGTATATCATCAACAGCATGGGTCGAAGTATCCCACAACTTAGTATCTAAGGTTATTATTAGGGTAACTATACTTGTAACTACTTATAACCCCAATTAATTAAGGTGCTTATAACCTTACTAAGTCCCATGATCCTCCAAGTAGGGATCCTTTACCCTCAGGCCCCAAGGTAGGTCCTTTTCGGGGGTTCATGTTTGGAATCCTTTAAGGTAATCCCAACAAGGAGCTACTTTGGGGCCTATGGGTAAGGGCTCCTTCAAAGGTGCCCTGAACCTTAACAACCTAGAGGTAATGTCCTGCTTTGTGGCATCTAGTCTGTATATCCCTAAGGCTCCATGCACCTATATAGTAGGTACTTAGGCCTTTAAGGGGCCCCTATATAGGTACTTTAAGGCCTGGGTATCTACTATATGGGTACACGGAGCCCTAAGGTATAGCAGATACCAGCCACAAAGTCGCGCATTTGCTGCTACGGAAGAGCCCCAAGTGACCCGTCGCCATCAGCCTTGCAGCGCCAAGCGATGATCTAAGCCGCCCAGACCTTCCAAAATCAATTAATGAAGGAATATACCTTAAATCATATTAAGGATCCTACTATAATTTAAGGGATATTCCTTAATTAAGGGATTTTGGAAGGTCTGGGCGTATCTGCCCTAAAACCCGAAGCCTCAAACCCAAAGCTTAAACCTCGCGTCTTCGCCTGGCTTCGGTCATAAACCTGAAGCCTGAATCCTCAACCTTGTACCTAAAACCCAGACCGTAAAACCCTCATCCTAAACCCTAAACCCCAAATCCTTAAATCCTAAACCGTTAAATCCCTAAACCCTAAGCCCCCCTAAACCCTAAGCCCCTAAACTCTATATACACCCTAAAACCTAAACCCCTGAACCCTATAAGTTTTGAATCTTGAAGCCGCCATTGTGAGGATCTGGAGATCGTCGTTCCGTGGCTGCGAGATCCGAGCTGCCCACTTCCAGGTCCAGCTATAGTGAACCCCAGGGTTTAGGGTTTAGGCGTTAGGGTTTAGGGGTTAGGGTCTAGAGTTTAGGGGTTAGGGTTTAGGGTTTAGGGGTACATGGATTCAGGATGATTAATGCTGGGACCCCCTGTGCTTTAACTTCAAGGAATGAGGACAATTTTGTTCCAACTTTCTGGCTTCTACTATTTGGGATTCTTAAAGGGAAAGGGGGGGAGGTCCAGCCACGGGATCCCTTGAAAGGAACCCATGGAACCCCTTAAAGGATCCCGCTAACGGAACCCCATGGAACCCTTTAAGGGATCCTCAAGGGAAGGGGTGCGGAGTTATGTAATTTTCTAATATTAGATAACTACTTAGGGGTATTCAGAAATATTTTTTAGTTTTTGGTGATTATAATCCCTAAGAAACAGCTAAAAATATAGTTTTGCTAGGGTTCCAGGTTCAGTATAGATTATAGGTATACATACGTGTTTAAATCTGTATCGACACACACACACACACACACTTGTTGACAGACCACATCTCCTAATCCTGTTTCGTGATTGCATTGTCAGTGTGCTAGAACACTCAACCCTCAACCCCTTACAATCGGCGCCACGCTGACGAAGAGTTCCAGGATCCGCTGCGCGTGAGTTGTCCAACGCGTTGGCGGCGGAATGTGGCTTGCTGCGCTGCCCGGCTGCTGGTGGGTTTACATAAGGGTTCCTCCAAGGGGTATGGGAGTTTCCGAAAGGGGTACCTTATTCTGGGGCCATTATAATAAGGATCCTACTATCTAGGGTACTATATTCGGGTCCCCGATTTCCGGAAAGTCCCATATGGTTTGGAGTTTGTAGAGATGAGGTATATAGCTATGGCTTTAGGGGTTCCGTCTAAGGATGGGACCATTGGCTTAGGGAGTTGCTTTGGGTTTAGGGTCTAGGCTAGCGTTTACCGGTTTAGGGCCCCGGTTTACATAGGCGTGCCTGACAGGGTCATAGGTCTAAGAGTTCTTCAGGCATTCTGCAAGGATTCGGGTCTGCCAAGGCTTCAGGCATTTGGGTTTTAGGGCTTATACGGTTCAGGACGTTTCCAGTGCTCCACATACTGCAAGTCTTCTTCGTCTCTCGCACACCACCCTGCTCGTGTCAACTCCTTTTGTTTGCTCGGTTCTTAACGGACCTACACGATGTTTGGTGTAGGTCCCGGCAACACTGGCCACCTTGAACAGCTCATCCATGTCAATGGACACTGCTCAGGCCCCAAGACACAAAGAAAACACGGCCAGCCGCGGCTGATACGAAGCAGCATGGGCCATGAATGTGGAAGAGCAGCCGCTCCATCAAACATGCACTTGGACGGCGATGAACCCTCAAACAATTTCGCGTCTGGAGACTGACTGCTCTTTACCGGCCAAAAGGGCTGCCTCTCGAGCGCGACGATGCAAGCTAAAGTCGCCAGGCTTGGGTGTGCAATTTCTGTGGCGCATGGTGCTGTCTGCAGGTTTTCGGGCAACGTTTGCAAACAACCCTGGACATGCATACCATAACCTATCAGCGTTGCGATTGCCCAGCGCGCACCCAGCGGTCATGTTTCTGATTGTCCACTATCGCACGTGCGAATTCGGTTTTTAACTTGTCCTCTAGCAGCTACCTGAATATCTGGCTGTTCTTGCTTCTTGTGAGGGGCGATTCAGAAAGAATCGGTCTATGGCCCCGCCCACACCCACCTACCTATAGTCTCCGTGTTCCTTTTTTTGGTTAACCAAAACCTCTATTATAGGATCCTAACCATAAAACTGGTTAACCAACAAAAGGAAGTACAATGGAGACTATAGGTATTAACTGTTCTAGAATCAAATAAGGTAATCCCAAGAAGGAAATACTTTGGGGCCTACAACATTGCTACAGATCCGGCGGAAGGCGGCCCCTTCCTCTGGACATGAGGTTTCAGGGTCCATGTACCCTTTTAGTATATACTCTGCTCTTGTAGGAATGTCTGAAAGGTTTGGGGTACATCTTGGGTTTAGGGTTTTAGGGTTTAGAGGTTTAAAGTTTAGGGGTTTAGGATTTAGGGTTAGGGTGGGGAAAAGTACACACTGTGTGGGCACACAGCCGATGTGAGCTCCTGAAAGGCCGTAGGCTTAAACCCTTAAGCCATACGCCACACGCCTTGAACATGTTAGGCCCTACACGAAACCCTAAACTCCCAAACCCCTAAACCCCCAAACCCCTAAACCCTAAACCCCTAAACCCTAAACCCCCAAACCCTAAACCCTACACTCCAACTCCTGAACGACTCAGATGCAGCCGGTGCCGCTCAGACGAAGCAGCGGCCAGGAACTGGGAGGCTTTGCGCCGAGGGTTCTCGGTCCCAGTGTAATCCATATGGATGGTTGTCAAAATTAAGGTCCCTTTCTGGGGACCAACATATAGGGTACCCAAAAAGGGGCCCTAATTTTGACGACCACCCATATGAAGCACCGGTCTACATTAGGGTTTTGGTGGTTGTAGATTTGGAGAATTTGTGGTGCTACTGGGCACGGGGCTGTGGAAATTGATAATAAAACCGTACTTCCTGCTACTTACAGCACAGGGAAGTCCTTCTCGCCGTGCTCCTCGTTGCCCTCGGTAAGCATCGTTGTCATATCGGCAGAGCGAGATGAAGACAACGGCACAACTTACGGCGCCGATTTGCAACACCGACCTCAACATTGCTCGCTCTATAGATCGTAGTTGACTCTTGTTCTTCCTCCTGCGCTTTTTGTGGTTTTCAATACTGCTAGCAGATAGCAGTGTTCAGAATCATCAATATCTCAAGAAGCGGGCATATGTACACTGCCGCAAACAGCATGAATATGGGAATAGCCGTGTCCGTAGAACAGAAGCACGCCGTTGCAGTCGCCACAAGCATCACGCAACAAGGAGACACAAAGACAAGCATCTTTGAGACGGCGGACGACACTGCCTGCAACATATACGAGTCTGCAGGAAAGTTTTCTGGAGTCGTAGCCCACAAACCCTAAACGCTAAGACCCTAACCCCTAAAAGCCCCTTATGGCTGTTGAAGAAGTTTTGCCGGGTTCAACTTTATAGGCCTGGCTCTCAACGGAGTCCAGTGAATGTGTGCCTCTCATGAGGTGAGACTGCATCTGCGAGAAAAGATTCCCAACACACTTGTCTAAAATCATAAACCCAAACCCTCAACCCTAGACCCAAACCCTGAAGCAACGAATACAAGGTAGTGCAAATCCGGATAGACCGGACCCAACATCTAAACTTAGGGGTACTTAGAAATATTTTAAATTTTTTGGTTATTATAATTCCTCAGAAACAGCTAAAATTGGAATTTTTGCTAGGGTTCCAAGTTCAGTATAGTAAACTTAGATCTCTAAACCCCAATCCTAGTAAACCTAGGTCCCTTTCCCCAGACCACAATCCCGAACTCCACATCCGCATCCCACAGACTCCAATATCCTTTAATTAACTAAGGAATATACCTAAAATCATGTTGGGCATCCTACTATGGTTCAAGGTAACTCCTTAATTGAGGGATATTGGAGTCTCTAGGATCCTACAACCCAGCCAAGAGGAAGGTTCAAGAACCTGCTGTTTCCGGAGCCTGGGCTGTGGTCCATGCCCTCCAGGCTCGTTTGGGTTCTTGTTAATGAAGGAATTTAATCCAACTTACCATAAAGTTGAAACCCTGTAAATTATCTACCATAGATCCCTATTATGGTAACTTAAACACAAGTCCTTCACGAGAACCCAGTCTTTCAGCTCCATCTTGGCCTTCGTGCTCCCACGTATCTTGATTATTGTCCCCATTATTGTTGTTACTGTCATTACTAAAAGATTAAAAGATATTAGTATCATTCTTATCATCATTATTATGATGGGGTTTGCTTTGGTTTGCATATCTGCCATAGCTACTAATAACTACTACCTGACCTAGAAAGCTATTGTTGCCGCAAACACCTCCCGACCTGCTACTTGTTGTTCTAGAGTGTCTTTACCTAGACCCCCCAAAAGTAGGTAAAATAATGCCCCAAACCTTACAAAAAGGCTATTATTCTACATACTTTTGGGGTCCAGGTAATGCTTAAGGCCTGCTTTCGGCAACAAGTTTTTAGCTGTGGGAGTCCACCATCTCTTCGTCACTACTCCGGAGGGACCCTTTATAAGGACCCCTAGGCATATACTCTTAATATGGCTGTTACATACCCATTATATAATCCATTATAGGGTAGGGGTCCCCATTAAGGGTCCCTCCTTTTCCCCTTTGAACTACAGGTTTCGGCACCATGGGGGAGACCCCCCAGGTTCCTGAACCCGCCTCGTTTGTTTATTCCCGAAAGGGTCCAAGTACCATTATAGCAGGTACTAAGTACCCTAAAGTATGTACTGTATGGCTACTTGGACCCTTTGGGTTTGGGGAGTTTGTGGGAATATCTATTCCTTGCCCTTGAGGCGGCAAAGAGCGTCAGTGGTCAGGGGTCTTACATGACATGTGACATGCTATGCCTGAAGCATGCAAGTGTAGGGATCTGGCTGGTGCCCTGGGTCTGGTGGGTGTTCGTCTTTTTCGGAGCCTTATCATGATCCGGATGTAGAGCCAGGCACTTCTTAATCAGGTTCCTATCTGAGTCCGAAACTTAAATCCTCATATATGGCCCTTATAGAACCCTTGTAGTAACCCTTAACGGAACCCTATTTGGGTACATGGACCCTTAAACCCTAAACCCTTATAGAGCCCTTATAGAACACCCTATTTGGGTAAATGGACCCTGAGGGCTAAACAGAGCCTCGCAGGCACTCGGCAAGTCTGCTTTGCAACGCTCCCCATCCTGGAAAGATGCCTGGCGGAAGGATTTTTTGCTTGGGTTTCAGGGATTTGGGCGTTATAGGAGTTTTGGCTTAGGGGTTAGGGTGTAGGGTTTTAGGGTTAGCTTTATAGGAGTTTTGGTTTCTAGGGCTCAGGGTTGTACTTGTTTCGCGTTCAGGGCTTGAGGTCTAGGGTAGTGGAGCATCCGTTGAGGAATTGCCGCGGGAGGGTCGTTGAGTGTGCATGGCCTGCAGTGATGCCCTGGGATTGAAACTAACTACTTTAACCCTCAAAAGTAGGTAAAATAATGGCCCAACTCCTCTAAAAGGCTATTATTCTACATATTTTAGGGTCCAGGTATAGAGCCCTCTGATTTCAAGCCCTTCATACCAGTCGGGGTTCTGGGTGGGGTTAATCGGACACAGGAGTGCCAGGAGTTTCTGATATTCGAGGCTGCTTATCGCTGTTTGTGGTTTTCGGCAGTTGGCTTTCAGACGCTAGGACCTAGAGTAGGCCCTTATTCCCTTTTTACGGGGTTCAGGTTCCCTTATAAGCCCCTTTAAACCAAAAAGGTCACCCTTTTTATTCCTAGGCTACTCTTGGGTCTGGGACTTCAGGACCAGGGAGACCTCTATTCGTTCCTGATTTGTGATGCCATTCCCTGACCGTCCATGTACCCAACTAGTATATACTTTGGCCATATTAGGAACTATAAGGCCAAAGTATATACTAGCTGGGTACATGGACGGTCAGGGAAGGGCATCATTAACGTGGTGTCGTGGCGGAGAATGTCCTGTCGCAACTTCCAAGTCAGTGTTTCTTCGTTTGGGGAATGGAGTATGGTTGCATTGGCAATTCTTGAATATTAGGCTCAGTTTTACAGTCAATTTCAAGCAGGTCTTAAGTTTTTTCGCATCTACATTCAGGTTATAGTGTTTACCGAAACAGGGTGGCATGGTTTACGAAGTTTAGACCCTTGCAAGTCTATGCGGCTCCCATGTGTTTTTTGTTTTAAGATTTGGTGTTGTGGGTTTATAGGGTTACCGAGCAGAAGTATGTATAGGGTTCAGGGTGTTGTGAAGTTGGGGGTGTGCAGTGTACAGTAATCAGAGTGTATGACGGTGTATGATTATACTATTATAGTGTATGTACCCCAGTGGACTATGTGGTAAGGCTCAGTGTTCATGCTTTCAGTCACTTTCCGTTGTGGCACTACTTACAGGCTTACGGGGGGTGTGGACCTGAGACTAGCTCAAACTTCAGAAGTCCTGTAATTCCTGATATCGAGCCTAAACGTCTATAAAACCGATATTCTGTGCCGGTGTTCGTGTGTCGGGAAGTGGGGGGGTGGGCGCGTTCTGCACTTCATCCGAGGCAGCTACTCAAGTGAAGGCCGGTTGCCTCTTGATTAGGAGCTCGCAGTGTTCCGTGGTAGGAGTTCGCCCAAGCTTCTCTGATAGGTATCCTGCGGTTGATGATATAAATCCTGAATTAGCCCAAATAAGGAATCTACCATAATTCCCATAGTTCAGGGTCCTTAATGTAATGCAGGATTTATGTCATCCACCGTGTTATATAAAGGTTCTATAGTATACGGTAGATAGCTTCTTTGTTACGAGAGCAATATGCCAGGACTTCTCTACAGGTTCTTTGTTACCGTTTAGCTAGTTCAGCAGGCTACCAGTACCTGGTTTCCGGCTCATGGATGCAGGGTTCCTTGTCGAAGAACAAGTTGCGCAAACTCCTGTGATGATCTAGAGCAGAGAATCATCAGCTGGCGCCCAGTGGATTCTTTTCCAGGTTCGGGTGAAGGATCCGATGTTGTCAAAGCTCCACCAAACATATGTCTATCCCTCAAGAGGCTGTGAACATGCCCATGAATGCTCGACTCTACGGAGCTTTCGGCGATTTGGTCTAGGCTCTGGTATGTTCGGATCAAACACAACAGCTCCCAGAATCAGAGACATCATTTGTGCAAGCTCCGGCGGAGCCATGTCATGCCCCGTTGTGGGCAGAAATGCTCGAGTCATCACAGAGCTGTTCGCAGCGATATGAGCGGGTTCCAAGGGCTCCGGGACGAAGCAATCAAGGCGCCCAAAATCCTTTGACTTGAAGCCTGAAATGAGGTTCGAACTGTTGTTGGTCAACCAACATCAGGGTGCATTCCTAGCATCCTTAAACCCTATACCCTAAACCCCTGAACCCCTAAAACCCGAAGTCCAGTCTCGATCTTTTGGAGCTTGCAAGCAGGCTCGGCGTCGCCTGCGGCGACAGCGAAGCGCGCCGGAGAGCAGGCAAGAATACAATACTATACTGTACTGTACTTGACTTTGTAGCACAGTACAGAAACAGTACAGTTTAGTACAGCATAGTATCATTAGTAAAGCAGTTAATAGTATGGTAATTATCATGAAGACCATTCATACTACAATATACTATACTGTGCTATACAAGATGGCCAGGACGCATATCGGTGTCATTCGGGTTTTTAAGTCCGTGTGACCCTATGGGTCCACATGCCCAGATCATACATGCTTTGCCCAGAAAGTAGTCCCACATTGGTGCTTCGGACACAATCCTGTAAACCCCATAAAGTTGGAAACCGGACTAAAGCCAAATAGTGCTGGGATTCCCCATACATTACTCTTCGGGACTGAGGCTATTGGGTTCCAACTTTTCGGCTTCTACTGTAATTATTTGATATTTGTGTACATGGACCCTTAGGGGAACAGCCCTAAGCCTAAAACCCCCAGTATCAACTCTACATAAGCTCTAAGCCAAAGGCCCCATTCCTATAGCAAGCTAGGAATACCCCAAACGTTTGACCACCCCCTACCTCCCTGCATGCTAGCTTCAGGCACAGATTCCCCAAGTCGTAACCGAAGAGCTTCAACAAATCTAACGCAAACTCGAAAGCCTCTATAGATCCCTGACTTAGCTGCTGAACACGCAGAATTCACAAGAGTTAGTGCGCTGTGCTTGTCGTTTTGGCTGGAGGTTTTGCAAAACATAATACAATATGTTTCAACTGTTGTTGAAGGCCGCCCGCCACTGTGGAGCCTGCTTCTGAAGGCGGCTGGCTGCCAGCATTGCGAGGAGGCCTCTGGACGGGTCTGTCAGACTCTAACCCTGGGTCCATGTACCCGAATACGGATCCGTTAATGGTTGCTATAATACTTTGGCCTTAATGTAGTCCTCATATAGGTACATTGGCACATGGACCCTTGGGGGAAGTCCCCGCAAGACATTGCATGTTGGAGTGTAGGGTTTTGGGGATGAGATAGTTGGGGCCCTTGGCCCCTTAAGCCTTAAGGTCCCCGGAAGCGTAGGCTAGGACAGTAGATTTACACTGGTTAACCTTTGTTTTCGAGCTTGGTTAACAACTAGCTCATTTCCGGGAGCTTCTGAATCCAGACCTTCCAATAATCCCAATATCACTTAACTAATTTCCTTTTAGGGCTCCTGGTAGAATTTGTGAGGTAGAGTCTTTCATTGAGGGACATTGGAAGGTCTGGGAACGCAAGGCCCACAGTATGGACCCGACGGTGACCTCGGGAAAGAATCAAGAAGCTCGTCGATACCTAGCAGAGCCACACATAGGACAGGCGCTCCGTGCAACCACACACGTCCCCAGCATACATTTCAACAAAGTATGATGTACCCATGCAAGAAGACAAGCAGTTCGAACGTAATGAACGAATGAATGAACGAACGAACGATGAATGAATGAATGCGTGCATGGCTGGATGGACGGATAAATACATGTTTCGATAGATGCACGAATGAATGAATGCATGAATGAATGAAATTAGCTGAAATGAAGTGAAGCGAAATGAAATGAAAGGAAAGGCAAGCAACATGGAATGAGTGGAATGACGCAATGGTTGGTTGGTTGATTGGTTGATTGAACGAATTGTTGAACAAGTCCTTTGCAGTTAGTCACGCAAAACGAATAAGCATGAGCAAGAACATCAAGTTTTGTTATGCCTAGGACCATGATGTACATACCGACGTAAGTGTATGTAAGTCTTCGTGTGTTTCAAGTTTGTTTTGTCAGAGTGCCGCTGCAAAGTTCCGACCGTTTCCGCCTTGCAGGCAACAACACCTCCCCACCGCCTGCTGAGCCCAGAGCACGGCGGCGTGCCTGCAGATTGATGGTTAATGTTATGGATTTGAGGGACCCAGGGTAAGGATTGGGTACGGCCCCCACTCAGTAATAGTTGAAGAGTATTGAATAATATTCACAATGCAGATATATTAGGACCTTAATACGTAGTAGCCCTATTATAGACCATCATTTTATGGGGACAGTACCTAAGGTAAGGGTTTAATCTACAGTTTAGGATTTAGGGTTTTAGGAGCAGGGGCCGGGGAACCAGGCTGAGCAACCATTCCGGCTACGGAAAGCGCTTGCATGAGTCTTGTGACTTACTTGGAGGTTCAGGGGTAGTTATAAGTAGGCTTATAAGTAGAGTAACTATACTGATAACCCACATTAGGGGACTTACAACCCTACTTATAACTACCCCTGAACCTGCAAGTAGGTCACCCGAAGGGTCCATGTACCCGTGTAGTATATGCCTTGGCCTCTAAGTAGTCACCGTATAGACACCTTGGGGCCAAAGTATATACTGTTTGGGCGCATGGACTCTCAGTGTTGATTGGACTGCAGTCCGGATCAGTGGAGTCGGGGAAGGTGGGACCACCGTAGCAGCTACAGCCGTGACGTCGTCGAGAACAGCACTGGAAGGAGCAAATACGAGCACGTTTAGGAGGCTTCCTCGCTTGACGGATACTTGGGGTCCATAGCTTTGACTAACATAACAAGGTGTTCGGTTTCGGGTTTAGGTTTTTCCTGCCTGCCTCTGACCTGACAAAGAAGCCTGCCCCCTGCTTAGCTTTCCCTAAGGGTTCATGTACTCATATAGTATATAAGTATATACATCGGCCTTAAATAAGGACTCCCCATAGCCTAAGTATATGCTTTACGGGTACATGGAGCCTTAGGGTTTATGAAGATGAGACTTGTCCAGGCCACCCAAGCGTCCGGCAACGCCCTCCATGGCCCCGCCCTGTGAACCGTCGCCGAAGCGGCGGTGGAAGATGAGACAGGACTAGGACTACCTTAGCCCTAAACTGACTAAAGCCCCCTTCAAAACCCTAAGCCGAAAAGCTACATCGTAAACCCTCGACATAGAGCCCGTCATTCCCACTAAATCCTAGACGCCAAACCTCAAGCTTTGTCAACCCTAATGCTGCGATAAGTCAGTAGAGATATTGCCATCCAGCATCGAAGTCGTCCAATGTGGCGAAGCCACAGAGGAGTTCATCTAGAAAGACACATGCAGATGCATTTCTGGTCTGGGGGTTTGGGCTTGGTGGAGTGCAGAGGTTTCAGGTATGGGTTTGGGAGTAGTTACGTTCGTTTGGCAAGTGTCACTCTAAAGGGCATCTGCATCTCTCTTTCTTTAGAAGTTGCTGATGACCAAGATGACCTGGAATCGTCCAAAAGAAGGTCGGCATGATGTAGTACTCTGTCAGGTTGTCTTGTTGCAGGCTCTCGGACACCGAGGGCTTTATCTTAGAGCCACCCTGAATGCCTAAACCCCTCCGAAACCCCAAAGCTAGACCCTCTTGAACTTCTCCTTCCGTGGCATTACCCACAAAACGTTTGGCGGGCTGCGAAGTTCTTAAGTTCAGTTCGGGCGAAGAACTTAGTCTCACAATCTGCGCCTTGCCTTGTTGCTGCTGTTTTTCTCAATCTCGCGCTCGCTCTTTGCCTCTCTATTCTCTCTCTCTCTCTCTCTCTCTCTGTCTCTCTCTTTTTCTCTCTCTGTCCTGCCCGAATCCAAGAATGTATTCTCTCGCTCTGCCTTCCATCCGTCTCTTACTGTCGTGTGCTGTGGCGATTCCTGGATGCAATGGCCATGCCCAATCTGCATCAACGCATGTCCTTGTCCTGCCTTGCCTGTATAGGGTTTACGGGTTTTCGGTTTAGGAGTTTAGGGGTTTAGAGTTTAGGGGCTTAGGGTTTAGGCTGTTATTCTCTTCGTCTCTGATGCTGAGTAACAGGTCTTCTGCTACCACTCCTGTCTTCGGAGCCATTAGGTTGTCATGCTTTGCCTGTACATTTCATACGCATTTACAAATGGGCACTGTTCCATGCAGCCACATGCTATGGTTTTGTAATGCTATATGCATACATGCATGCATGTATATGCACATGCGACATACCGATATAGTTAGAGGCATGCATATGCATGCATGCATGCAAGCTCCAGATTGACTGTTCACTCAGTGGATTTGCTTGCTTTGCACCCTGCTCAAGAAGCACAAGGCCATGGCATCTGGAAGCTGCAGCAGCTTCATCTAGTAGCACAGTTTATGCTTATGTGCGCGACTGCGCGAATCACAGGTCTTAAGCAGTCATAGTTGCAGCCCTTGATCCTTGTCGGACGACTGCTGACTGTTTGAATGCCCATCTGTCAAGTAGATTTTCCTGCGGTCATGTTCCGCATCTCCGACCAGCTCAGATGTAGGATTTTAAACTTCAAGGTCACCCGCTACTCAGCTCCTCCCTGCATGCCTTGAGACTTGCTCCTATAGGGGCCTCAATAATTACCTGTACTATTTTGGGGGGGTTCCTGATTATAAATATAATATAATGGGCCCCAAAACCTTCTTCTAATTATTAAGGCGCCTATATTATGTTACAGGGTCTGCCGTCTCTGGGACGTAGGTTTAGATTCAGCCTGACCGGTGCCTAGGGACAAACGTTTCGGGTAGTGAACCATGGCGGGAGTTGGCCTGGCGGAAGAGAACAAGGTGCCCAAAGAGCCGGACAGGCCTCCCCGCACTAGGAGGTTCATGGGTAGTTATATGTAGGGTTTCTTTGAAGGGGTCTATTGGATTATAGGGTTTAGGGTTTAGGGGTAGATATAAGTAGGGTCATAATCAGGGTAACTGTAGCTATAACCCATATTAGGGGACTTATAACCCTGCTTATAACTACCCCTGAACCTCCCTGCAAGAGGGCATCGACCCTAACTTAAGCCCCCCCCCCCCAAAGTACCTTTATAGTAGAATGTAGGGTTTCCATATTAGGAATTACTATTATGACTTAGGGAAGTATCCCCCATAACAGTACATAGGACCCTTTGGGTTAAAGCTTCGGAGCCTTTGGGGTCTCCTTCAAGTTCCCCAAAGGCTCCATGTACCCATATAGTCTAGGTACTTAGGCCTTAAGGTAGCCATATAGGGAGCCTTTAAGGCCTAAGTACCTACTATATGGGCACATGGAGCCTGAGGGTTCGAGCTTCAAGGCTTGCGGTTTAGACTGAGGGTTTTTTGGGATTTCGGGTTTAGGGGAGTTTCATGGCGTTCGGGCTTGAGGTTTGAGCTTTGGTTATTGTAGGGAATTAGGTTTAGCAGTTAAGGGTTTTGGTTTTGAGGCTGTTTTCGGAACTTGAGAAGCTTGGTGGTTTCGGAAGGCTCGGATCAGGATTGCAAGTGAAAGATTGCAAAGGCCCGGGCGGTAGCGGCGCTTCTTGTCAATGCCGCCTGTTCGGCTTGTCCACGAGAAGCAAATCGAAGCTGAAGATTGGGTTTAGGGTTTAGGGTGGCTACAACACCGTCACTACGCACGGCAAGTCGTTGGTTTTGGGCAACAACTTGAAGTACAAGAATGCCGATGACAGCACCGCGACCTTCAACATCAAAGCCGGTGATGTCCTGATCATTGAGAAGTGAAGGCTGCATCACACACAGCAAGCAGCGGACAAAGCGTACATCTGTGCAGTTCTTTTGCGTATGCTTTAGGCGGCTCAGCTGCAACCTCACTTGAGACACGCCAGAACTGAAAAGATCCATGTGCTGATAGTGCTGATTCGGGAGTTTCCGAGAATGAGGGGTACCTTATGTTGGGGTCCTTATCACAAAGATCCTACTGCTTAAGGTGCTACTATGAGGGTCCCCTATTTTCGGAAACTCCCATACTACTACTAGGATGCCCAGTAGTACCCTTATTCCCTTTTTGTAGTCCTAGGTTCCTTATAAAGTTACCCAATACCAAAAAGGGAGCCCTTTTTAGATGTCGCTGAAGCAGGACTAGAACCTCTCAGACTTGCTTCCCAGCGCCAAGGGTCCATGTACCCAAATGAGTGGTTGTCGAAATTATGCTTACTTTTGGGGTTCCTATTATATTACGGCACCTAATATTTAGGTTACCCCAAAAAGGGACCGTAATTTTGACAACTGCCCAAATGATTAGTATACTTTGGCCTGAAAGCAGTCCCTATGTGGGTACTTTGGGGCCAATGTATATACTATTTGGGTACATGGACCCTTAAACCCTGAACCCTTTATAGGAACAAGTAGCCCTTAAAGTAACCCTTAAGGGATCCCATTTTGAGCACATTTTGGACACATGGACCCTTAGGGCAAGCTGACCAGGCCACTTTGGATGCCAAGTCTCGTCATAAATTCAAGCAGAGTTTTGTCTCCCAGCTCAGATGCTCTAATCCCTAAACCCTATAAGCCCTAAGCGCTAACCCCTAGACTGCGGGGTTTAGGAATTAGCACGTACGTCCCACTCGCTTGCAGGTTCAGGAGCCAGGAAGATACCTGTGAAACCACCCTAACACGCCCGAAACCCCAAACCCCAAAGCAGGATCCCCAAACTCATGTCAGGTCCGCGGAAGGTCCGGGCGAAGCACAAGACTGAGAATGACAGTGTGGAGCACGTGGCTCCGGGGTTTGTAATTTCGGATTCTGCATCACTGCTCTTAGGGTTTAGGATTTGGTTTTTTCTTCATACGTCGGTACTTGATTAATTGAAACATACTCTAGAACATAGCCAACAACACAATGCATGCAGTTACCGACGCCCCATCGGGTGCAGCTTCTCTGTGTTAACACTGTTTTTATCAGCCCTACACTCTAAACCCGAAAACCCTAACCCCTAATCCCTAAACCCTATAACCCTATAACCCTATAGATCCCTTTAAAGGAACCCTGGTTATAACTACCTATAGTCTCCATTGTAGTTCCTTTTTTGGTCAACCAAAATCTCTATTATAGGATCCTAACCATGAAACTGGTTAACCAGAAAAAAGAACTACAATGGAGACTATAGGTAAACCCGAAAACCCTAACTTAAACCCTAAATCCGAATCCCCGAACCCTAAAACCTGCAACCCGGAAACTTAAACCCCTCTAGGCCCTAAACCCTGACTTAAGTCCCCCGCCGAGGCCGCTTCACAGGCGCCAGCGCGAGCAGAGGGACCGAAGTCTATCGGATCGTGCGCCTGGGGTGGGGGGGTCGGGCTGTTTAGGGTTTAGGCTGTTCCTCGGCGTCGCAGAGCAGCACCCTGAGCTGAAGGTATAGGGTCGAAGGTTCATATCGGGTTTCTAGTACTATTTTATTATGTTTAGATGTAACTTGGTTACTCCAAAAAAAGGAACTACAACGGAGACTATAGCCAGAGGTTCTTACCCTAAGCCCCATAGTACTTCCTGTTGGTGGTTCATATGTAGAGCCCTATAAGGTAGTCCCAAAAAGGATCTACTTTAGGGCCTATACGGGTGGGGTATCTGTCCCTAAGGGTCCATGTACCATCTAACAGGGCCCCTTTAAAGGGTCACTATAAGGGCTCTATAGCGTTTAGGATTTAAGGGTCTAAATGGTATACAGGGGCCTTCGGGTAACTTGAGCTCGAAGCCCAATGGGTTTATCCAAGGGTAAAAAGGAGGGACCCTTAGTAAGGACCCCTAGGTATGTACCCTTGATATAGCTATAATATATCCATTGTATAGCCCATTATAGTGTAATTAGGGGTCCCCATTAAGGGTCCCTCCTTTCCCCAGTGGGTTTAGGGTTTTGCGTTTCCGTGTTGCTCTAGCGCACTGCCCGAAGGGTTTGGAGGTTAAGAGGTCGGTGCGCGGGTCTTTGGACTTTGGGCCAAGAGAAGTTCTGGCAAATTTAAATATTTGGGCCAACAGAATTTCTGGGAAATTTAGATATTTGGGCCAAGAGAAGTGGGCAAATCTAAATAAACTCCGAACAAAGCCTATTGGGACGCGCCTCTCGGGGCCGATTGTCCGACAGCGAACAGTGAACA